CGCGGGTTAACCGCGGCCCGTGGGGGTGCAACCCGCGAAGCCCGCGGGTTACACCTCCTTGGCCCGTGAACCGCCCGCACGGGTCACGGGTTGGCCCGCGGTCCCGATTTTCACGGGCCGATTTTTACGGGTCATGGCCGACCCGTCCGTCTTGACACCTCTACACTAACCACTTCAAAACCAATTGGCACGATTTGATTTACACCTCTTAACATATTTCCATTGAAGTTCCTATGATGTATGCTGAGGTCATTTTCATATTGGGAGAATTCCAACAGCAAAAAGATGAAAATGGGAGCGGCAATAATTCACTTTTTCAACTTTTAAGCTGTTGGGAGCTGTCAGTGGATTATTTTCTTCTTCTTTTCCCATTGGAGAAATAAAGAATCCGAAGAAGAACGCGGAGAACAAGGAAAAAGACAAGTTGCAAACTTTCTCTTATGTCCTGTTTGATGGAATGGATTTTTCTAGGAAAAAGAAAAATAATTTTCAACTTTACCCAAAAGTAGTGTTTGATTGCTAAAATTAGGTCAAGAAATTTTTTTTCCTCCCCCCTCCCCACACGTCCCTTTTCCTACAATTTAGGGAAAAGGAAAGCATTTTCCAGTCTGACGTCAAATTTTTTTTTTTTTTACAATGAAAATAAATTTCATAACCAGTTGTACAAAAAAAATTCACTTTAGTGGACAATTTTCATGTAAAACAAAGTCAAACGAACACTAAACTTTGATAAAAAAATGATTTTTTATGAAATATTTTTTTTCTTTTTTTTTTTATTTTTTGGCAATGGAAACAAATTTTATAACCAATTGTGGAAAAAAATATTACTTTAACGGACAATTTTCATGTAAAACAAAGTCAAACGAATAGAAAATTTTAAAATTTATTCCCCCTTTTATTTTACTTTTTGGAATTGGAGACAAATTTTATAACCAATTGTGGAAAAAAATATCACTTTAATGGACAATTTCCATGTAAAACAAAGCCAAACGAATAGAAAATTTAAAAATTTTCCGGGTGAAAAATTTCATAACTAGTTGTAAAAAAATTTTCACTTTAATGGACAATTTTTTTTTTTTTTTTACTTTTTGGCAATGGAAACAAATTTTATAAGCAATTGTAAAAATAACTATCACTTTAATGGACAATTTCCATATAAAATAAAGTCAAACGAACACAAAATTTAACAATTTTCCGAGTGAAAAGTTATAACAATCACACACACTTTATTAACAATTCCCTACAAAATATTTTCTAGGCAATTACTTTCCCTAAAATTCATTTTCTTTCCACCCTTGCAGTCAAATGGACCCTTAGACTTGTTTGAGGTAGATTTTTTGAGAACAAATTTTTTGAAAAGTGATTTTTTTTGAAAAATTTGTGATTAGAAGTATGAACATATTATGAGTTCACATGCAAAATTATTTTATTGAGAGAATGTGCAATAAAAAATGAGTTCGGGGAAAAATAATTTTAAAGAACTTGCACCAAATAGAGACCATATTATCTAAAAAAATAGTACCATTATATTTGATTAAAGATGTCTTTAGATATTTGTGTCCACTGGTGGAATTCCTCATCGAAGAGAGCAAGAGAGAATAAATCAAGCAAGTCTTTACCAACAGTATGAAACAACAAGGATTTATTTAAACAAAGACAAGCATTCCAAGAACCATGGTAACGTAATATCAGCAAAAGACAGAACAAACGGACATAATAAAAGGAGCAGGACAACAAAATTATAGACCGGACATTTTATCTGTTTCCAGACAGAAATGAAGTTTTGAACTCGTCGAATACAGAACCACCTGTAAATTAATGAATCGTTCGTTAAACAGAAGCCTAGACGGCTAGCTCTCTCCTATTACACACTAACACATCGAACTCAACCTCACATACAATTTGATAAATATGCAAATCCCAGAAAAATAAAAATAAAAAGTTCGCCAGTGATCAGAGTTGGCGAAAAGTAAACAAGAAAAAGAATACAAAAAATAATTCTCTTATCTTTTTTATGCTTTACCAGTGGTACTATCTTGTTGAAGAGGAGCACAACAAATTAACTAGAATGGGTTCTCCAAAGTATATCCCACAATCTGATTTACATCTCAGTCTAAATTTGATAAAGGAACTTGGGTCATTTTCAAAAATTAAACCTAAAATCTTCACGACATCATTTGATACTGCTCTTGGTGAACGTGTCTACTCTGAACCAACCTGTTAGCTGCGTGTAATGACATCATTATAAGCTGAGATATGTATATATATGAGGGGTACATATGAAGTTCACAATCCAAGTGTTTTCTGAAGTGTCTTCTCCTAATTATCTGTAGATATTTAAATTCTGATGCTTCCTATGCAGCAATTCCTGAAGAAAGTCATTGAGAAAAATCATCAAAATGAATTCAGAGGTATTATTTATTTATCATCTCAATTATTAAACCTATGTACATCTGCAGAATCATCATAAGACTAATTGGAACATTACATCATAAAAAATCTCTCAAACTGTGATGCACTCTGCATTGTCCTAAAATGTACAGACAAGGAAAAATGAAGCGTCAGCCTCCCTTAATCACCATTCTGTGGAAGGATATGCCAACCATTTGTTAAGATCAAGTACCTTTTTCTCAACAGTACGAGGAAAAGGAAGCGAAAAAACACCCCTTACCAAAACAGCAGGAAAAATGAAAAAAGGAGTGGAGGACTATACTGATTTTCTAGTTACTATAATTATATTTTACATATAAAAGTAACCAAGGACTTGTTGGATTTCATTTATCAATTCCTAAAGCACTCCCCATTGGATACTGTTGACCAATTTTATGGTAATTTTTTTTATTTTCTTCAAGTGAATGAAAACTCAAATGCTATTGAGGTTTCAATTTTCAAAGAATTCTATGTAACAGCAAAACTTACAACTGATTTCTTTCACATTTGTTATCTAATGAGATTTCTCCCAGCATATAATGCAAATCCTAATGGCACATAATTGTCTTCATCATACAATCTATTTAGATAACATTCTTTATCAGAAAAAAGGGTATCTTTTTTCTGACCTATAGATTTTTAAATTAGGAAAGGACCTTCTTGATATGTGATTCAAACATTGATTAGGTATTTAATTGATTCGGATGATTGCACCATATAATGCTTTATCACACCCATATGCAGTACGTTATTCCTAGACTACATCAAAAAGTTTGCAGGTGTACGTTATTCCTAGACTACATCAAAAAGTTTGCAGGTGCTCAACAAAAAGAATGACCAAGCAGGCTAGAAAAGATATTTATGGTTATCAAATGATTATAATGCAGAAGAGAACAATTAATTTTCCAATTTAATATCTGTTTCACTACTTAAAAATTACTATCCCAAAATACATTATTTCCAAAATCTCATCCAGCATTTTCCAACTTAAAATATGCCTTCCATAGATATGCAGTGTCAAGAGAAAAGGCACCAGAAACAAACAGAACAATGCCTTCTATACTTGACCTGTTAAGTCAAGTATCATAATTCCTTTACGAACTTGATAATTTCCGCATATAGCAAAAGAAAATGATAGTAACATTTTCTGTGAACATTGATGTTTTCGAGCGATACTTGGTTGTATAAATTCTTTTCTTAAAGTATGGTTGTTTTACAAAATTGTTGTTGTTAGATTTATTCTCCCATTTAACAGCTCTAGACAAAGATTTGCATTAAAAAAAAATCATAATAGTTTTTATAGAGCAGTACAAGTTTATAGTGTTAAGAAGTATGTTTGCGACTATAACATGAAATAATGCATAATAGGACAAACACTTTTTACCTCTAGTGGATTGTCTACTTGCAATATCATAGCCCACCCCAAAATCATCAGAATCTTTGGCAGAGACATCTTCTGAATTTCCCAGTCCATAACGAAATGAACCAGAATTATCTAGCTCAGAAGACATGGTTTGCCATGTTGGATCTCTGTACACTGACTCGCTACGATAAAAATCTCCATGAGATCCTTCGTAATTACCACTAGATGTGGCAAATGAAGATGGTGTGGGCACACCTGTGCCACTGTTCCTCCCAAACCCTCCTGTTCCAAGTGCATAACTGTTTTCTCCACCTCTGTAGCCAACATTCCCACCAGAGTAGCCAGAAGAACTCCCCCCAAGTGACGCAGCAATAGGAGAAGTTCCCCAGTTTGCACCATTATTTCCAAAGACTCCAAAGCTGTCACTTCCCGGACCAAAGTATGAACCAGAGCTAGAATTAGTAGTAGAAGTATTAAGGGCACCATTTCCCCACAAATTTCTGGATGAAATATTGTAAGAGGAATCACCTCGACTACTACCTGAGCTGTAACCAATGGGAACATTGTACCTGCTTTGATTATTACCAAAATAGGGGTTTAAAATGTGTCCGTAACCAATATTGCTGCTGAAGTTTGATCCTCCAGGCCCAGCATTCAATCCTTGGTCCATATTGACACCTATTCCATATGCACGAGAACCTAAAAGTGAGAATCCAGCACGAGAACTAGCTAGTGGATTATATCTCCCATCCATCCTGACTCCATAAGCTCCAAGAGAGTTCAAATTATATCCAGGGGAAAAGCTATTCAGTAGGTTGTTGGCTCTGTTTAAACCATAATTGTACCCAACAAGAGGACTTCGGTTGGGCCCCGGAGAAAATTCTTTCGGTACAGCCCTCTTTACCTCAACCATCTTACCATTGAGTTCATGAAAAGTCTTGTGCAATGCTCTATCCACTGCATCCTCAGAATCATATGTTATAAATCCGAAACCCCTTGGCCTTTGAGTGTTGTGGTCATACATCACTACAACATCCACTATGGTACCAAACTGATCAAAGTAATTTTTAAAGTCACTTTCAGTGACGGTCGATGCTAGGCCTCCTACAAATATCTTTTTAGTTCGTCCAGAACCAGGTGATTCTTGAGTGCTACTACTGTTTCTATTTACCAAGTGTTGATCATCCCTTGGAACAGCCTTTTTTGCTTCCACCTGAAAGAAAAAAGGGAATAAAATAATCCACAAAATATAATGTTGTCCATCTAAAAATCAAATCTTGGAGCTAGGAAGTCCTGGGAAGGCAAAAGGTTTCTTATTATCCATTTGCAGCTACAAGAAGCTGCATATACTTTAACAATAAACAAACAACATTGATGCATATTTGGCTTCCAGAATAACTGATATTGGCCCGTGCATATTGCTGTGTTTTCAAAATATTGTAATCTCTATATGATATGTTCTATCAAACTACTCACAGTTCGTCCATCAATGGTATGCTTTTCCTTAACCACTCTTTGAGCAACTGCAGGGTCAGAGAAGACCACAAAACCAAAGCCACGAGCACGGCCAGTGATACGATCTTTCATGATCACTGCCTCTATGACTTCTCCGTGTGCACCAAAATATTCTTTAAGACGATCCTCGTCTGTATCCCAAGAAATCCCACCAATAAATAGTTTGCCTTGATCTGACTCCATGTTTCTGCAATTCCATTTTTCATTTGACAAACAATTCAATAATCTTCTATCAAGGGAAACATTTTATAAAGAAAAACAAAGTAAAAGAAAATAAACTTTGTCAAATTGACAAAAAAAAAATTGATTACAAAAGAATGTCGGTCAAACAGCAAAGAATCACCGGTCTTGTGAAATGTGTAGATCAATTCTCGAATGAAATGATGACCATTAATAAATTGAATAGTTGAAGTTGAAGCTGATTATTGCATAATGTAAATACATCCAAAAAAAAATCCAGAATACCAATCAATAAAAGATAAATCTAACAGATCCAAGTATAGATAAAATGCAATTGAACAAGAATGTATAATACCTTATCCAGAAAATCAGGCAGGAACAATAAGACAGTGATTATGGGAAATGCTGGATTTAGTTTGAATTCATTGGATCTTTCTTTCTGCATTCAAGCTTCAATCTTACAATCCTGAAAATCCATAATTCAGATAGATCAGACATACCCAAAAGGAAAATTTTCAAAGAAGTATAAAGAACGGATTTCTATTATGAAAAAAAAATTTAACTAATTAATTACTTTGGAAGACCCACCATTAAAGGGAAGCCAAGGCGGAAAAAATTGAATGAAACTAAGATCTAAGAAGATGAATATCCAAAAATGGGAATAGAGGACGTGCTCATCCCTTCTCGTTGTTTCTGTGTTGTCTCTGCGAAACTCCTTCTCTTCCTTCCTTCCTTTTTTTTTTTTTTTTATTTATTTATTCCACCTTTCAAATTGAATCAGAAGAAATTCTTTCCTGGATATTCCACTTCTTTCAAATTGAATCAAAAGAAATGGAATTCCTTTGCAGAGAGAGATATGGGTACTGTTGAGCAATCCTTAAAAAGAATATTTGAAGGAGCCTAAGGTATCTATAATAGTAATAATTCCTACCAAAAGATAAAATGCAATACATGCCTGCATGATTTTCTCCTTTATTTTTTCATAATTATTATTTCTTTTTGCATATTATCTCAGTAATAATTTCATAAATATTTATCAACAGCAAGTCATCTTTGTTTATTTCTTGAATAATTGATCGTGTTAGACCTCAAATTAGGACAAGGTTATAATGCAAGATCGTTGCTCCAGTGGAGGTGCAATGATTCTATTGTAAAAAGACAGATTGACAATTTTGGCTAGGATGAATAGACGAGGGATAGTCATAAAATTTAAAGAGCAAGTGAGCATCTTTATCTATTGGGCCGATTTTTTTCGCCTATTTACCGACAGTGGACGGATGGCCGATTCATTACATTACATTTATGAAGTTGCTAATTGACGTGTTACTTCCATTTGAATATGCTACAATCTTTTCGCTAATAGCAACTATTAAGGGGCTTATAGCCTACTTCTTGCCTGATCTTGGCCGGTCGTTCGAGTTTCTCCAATGGGGGTGATAGGATGTGGGGCACTTTGAATTGATTGTCCGATACTTTATTTGGAGTTTTCTTGATACTTGGAGTTTTGTCACAAAATACTCATCGTAGTGTATCTTTGACTCACTATCCAAGATTCGTTAATTTTTATGTTTCATCATAATCGTATTCGTAGGACCCTCCTAATGTCTGAACCTCTAGCGTCCACTTATGTATCGCGGCACTCGAGGTTCAAAATCCTCACAAAATGAGAAAGAAGATGGTACACTTGAATTGTATTATTTAAGTGCTTAGAAAAATGCTAAATGTACACGGGAGTTAACCCCCCACCCCCCTCTTGTGAGGGGGCATGTACATGGGAGTGCCGTGTACGTGTAGTAAAGCTCAAGTGCTTAGTGCTTGCCAAAAATCTTACTTGTACAATTGGTAGGTCACATGATTATTCAAATAAATCATGTTTTCAATGATTTTCCCATGTTACAACTTCCATACCAATTTGGTCGATCTAAAATGGATCGGTTCAACATTTCATTACGGAGCCAAGTCTTGACTCTTCTATGTGGTATTCATTCTCGTTCCGCACTTGAAATCACATCCAACAGTCATTGGTAACTTGAGGATTTTGATCATGGATCCTTCGAGTAATCCAAGGAGTCGGCTTAGTCTGGCCTCAACATCATGGGCGTCAGCCCATGCCTCGATATCTAGCCTTCAACCTCTTTCATTACACTGAGGTTGGCTCTTCGGGTCTTCCATGTACGTCTGATCTACATGTCGCTGCTATGTGGAGTTGACAAGGACTCCACATGAGAGGAGGATTTTACAATTATAATTGTAATTACACTACTTTTTAAGGGAACATAGAGTTGACAAATTACACAAGTTGATTAATTGATAAATAAGACAGATTAAGGGGAAGGAATAAGAATAAATTGGTTTGAGATTTCAACTCTAAGATGCAAGAAACACGTTGAGAATTGTCTTTTCAAATATGAACTTTAAATTAAATATCCGTGACCATTATTATTGACTTAAGAGCTATATCATTGAGTGGGAAATGGTCCTACTCCTATTACTTTGTTTAATTTCAAAAGAAAAAAAATCTATAAACAGAAATAATCAATTACCAGAATACTTAGCACTCATAATTCAAATCTTTATTAACTTTATTGGTGGAAACGCAGATTAGGTGCTTGAGGTATATTTTGCTTTAATTAATTTACAATATAGAATTGTATCACCTTATATATACAGATTCTCGTTATTTGATGCGGATTATCCACAGAACCCCTTCAGAACACACACAATAGGTGGAATCCCTGTGAAACCTCTCTCAAGAATGATTCATTTGATGCATATTAAAGTCAGATTTTGATGATTTGACTTTATCGAATTGTACTCGAATAATCATCAAAACGATAATTTCATGAAATGATCCTGACAAGTCATGAGGACTTGAATTCCCATTTTCAAATTTGCCCACGACTTTGCTAGGGTGAATTACCAATTTACCCATCAATCAATTTCCCGTAACCTTACCCAATTGAAAATGGCCATGTTCATATTTTGGAGTAAATGCATGTAGACCAATTTTATTGATGTGATATGAGATAAAAATCCAACTTGCTATTATTTGTCTATCAACAACAATTAGTTCATGGGGTACATCACCTCTTACATCGAGATATTCATAATGAACACCCGGCGCCTCTTTATGGTGGGAGGGTTGGTGGGGTCGGCACTTCCTCCAATGAGGAGGTGCCGGGTGTCCATTATGTACACCATTGTATAAGTGACCATTAGAATAATTCTTACTTCATGTTTCATTGAACCCACCAAGTTGGACAAAAACCTATTTTTTGGAGAAAAATTTCAGATCAAACATGTGTTAAATATTTTAATTTTAATTTTATTTTTGTTATTGTTAAAAGCAGTTTTGTAGTTGTGATTTTTTGTAGAATGTATGGTTAAAATGAAGGAAAAAGTTTTTAATTTACATTCAAAATTATTTTGTTGGGAAAAGGGAAAAATACTATAACCACAACACATTATATATTTTCACATTTAACAAACTTACAAAAATATTTCAAAAATCAGGTGATAAATCATATTATATATTTATAAGATATTATCGTGAATGAAATTTAGAAAAATTAGTCTATAAGATATTTTCATTAACAATATCATATTCTATTATATATCAATTAGTTATTAAAGATAATTATTTCTCTCGACTCCCATTTTCTCTCTCACACATCTCTCGGGTTCCAAAATCATGATTTTTTTTTCAAAAATTAGGTGGTCACATTTTGTAATATCGGATAAAATTTTATGACCTATAATTTAATTAATGGGTTATGGTCACAATAACACGTAATTTATGGTAATGATCATAAATATACAATTTGTAGGTCACAATTACAAATTCCATCGAAAACTATATGTAGGTCATAAATTATCGAATTAATTTGTCACGATCGCTCTTCTTCTCACCCCGCGTCACTCCACTCCACCGCCTTAAATCTACAACCACCACCATCTTCACCTCGAATCCACCGACATCTCCATTCCATCTCCATCTCCACCTCCAACACACCGCCGCCGCACCATCAACTGAAATGTTATAGGTATAATTCCACCATTGTGACATCACCCAAGTCAGCCATCGCCACAATTACTATCACCTTCATCAAAATCCACCACCACCTCACATTCAACATATTGTCACCAGCCCACCACCGCCTTCAACTTCAACATGTTAGGAAAATCAACGGTTTTCTAAATTATTTAGGAAGTTAGAAAAATCAACAGTTTTTCTATTTAATGGCACTCCTAAATAGTTGGAGGTTAAGAAAATCAATAATTTTTTTTCTATTTAATGGCAACAT